TTGGGGGGGGGGGGGGTTGTGGAAAGTAAGGAGGAAAGAAAGTCAAGTGTAAAGTGAAGAAAGAAAAGTGAGACTCAACTTTGGAATTTGTTGCAAGAAGAAGGAACTCCTCCTTATTAAAAAAAATGAGCAAAAAGTTTAAAATTGAAATGAAAAAGAAAGTGTGATGAAATAAAAAAGGGTGTCTAATAGATTGAAAAATAAATAAATTTGAGGTTTGAGTCTCCAAATGAAAAGAATGGAAAGAACTTGAGAAGAGGTGAACATAAGTACAACAATACATTGAAAAGGTGAAGTCATTGAGGCAAATTGACCATACATTTACCCTCAAACCCATAACAAGCCTAAAAGACCCTTGAGATCTTGCATATGCTAGGTTGTGTGATGATTGAAAAATATGGACAATCCTATGGGATGAAGCTTGCATGTATTTCTCATTCGGAGAGTGAGAGTTGTATTGATTCCTAAATTCTTTATTGATATGCTTTGTGAGAGACTTGATGTGAGGGCACTTGAATAATTTTGTTGAAAAAAGGTTTTGCATTAGAAAGGAAGCACTAGTGAGCTTGAGCTTGAATTGATATCGGGTAGTCATCACTTGAAGCTCTTTGATCATGATTGAGTGTTGCATATGCTTGATAGTGGTCTTTTGGTGACACTTTCATGTTAACTCTCACTGGGAACTGTTGTATACACCCTTGTTGAGCTAATTGTATTCTTGATTTACTTGAGGACAAACAAAAGTTTAAGTTAGGGTGTTGACGAGTGGTAGATTTTCACTCGTTTGAGGCATTTTTAATTCAACAATTAGTGTCCTCAATGTCTAATCATGTCCAATTCTGATGATAATTTGATGTATTGCAGTCATGAAGGCTAAATAAAAATGCAAGGATGAATACATGAAAAAGAGGCCAAAAATATTAAAAGGAGTAAAAACTTCCAATTGACGTCGCCTAACCAAAAGGGCGGATCACCCAAATGGCCTGACCTCGCCCTAGTTGACACTGTTCACAATTGAAAATATTCAAGGCAATCGGCGGACTAAAACTGAATCGGTGATTTGCTGAAGCTGAATGGGTGAACTAAAAGCCCATCCCTAGGTGAGTGAATTTTGAGTAAAAATGAAAGCTGAAAAGGCAAACAAGGTGGTGATCTCGATCGCCAAATGTGAAAGGATGGCTCAACCGAGTTTATTAACTGAAGTTCAAACACCTGAAGCAAAAGAAGGGCTAGCTAAAGATCAAACGAAGATTCACCGAATGAGTTAAGCGAGCCCGACTAACGTCACAGAATGAGCCGCGTATGGAATCTGGGTCCAATTTTGGGGAAACTATAAATAGTCCAAAGAAGAGAGAAAATGTATCAGATTTTTGTATGATAATTTTGGAAAATTAGGCTTGAGAAACTTTGCTTGAATTAGTCTTTTTACCCTTTGAGAATCATTCTTAGTTTTGGGGTTTTCGAATACACACTTGTAATTGACAATTGAGGTGTGGAATCGAAGAGGGTGTTGACGATTATTGCTTAATTTCAACAATTAATGGATGGTAACATCATAGGTATAATTTCTTTACTTTTTATGATGTGTGGCTGAAAATTCCAAATCTAAGGGTGTGATTATGGGTTGGGTGTTGATTTAATTTAGTGGGTCTTGTGTTTTACTCTGTTTCATTGTTGTTCTTCCACGGATTTAAGTTATTTAATGGGTTAAGGTTGCAAACTTAATCCTAGTCTAGATCTTCGATTGATGTTTGAAAGACATTAATTGAAGTGGGTAAATAGCTTGATGCATGCAAGTTAGGGCTAATTTCTATAGTTTGCTCGAAAGAGAAATTGTGGTTTGATTCTAGTTGTCAAATCTGCTTGAAAGAAAGGTTTTAGTAAGGTATTGGGTTGATTTGTGATTCTCATAGATGAGAGCAAAAGGAGATTCTATGATATGATGCTTTGAGATCGAAAGAAGATTAGTATCATTGAAGATTACCCAACTTATTCATGCTAGTTTAGCATTCTTGAGCGCCACATGTACCCGTCTTTGACATTGATACCAATCCCCACAGCCCTAGATCATCTCTTACTTGTGATATTTGCGTTTTTTGTTTAATTGCAATCCTTGATTACAAATCTCTTTTTGTAAATTTGGTGGGATCATCCATCCAATTGTTCTAAAGTGCTACAATGAATAGGTTCGCATTCTTAATTTCCAAGTTGAATTCTTATCCTTCAATTATTCCTTGTGGATTTGACCCAGACTCTTTGTTGGATATTTTTATTGACAATGTCTACTTATTCTTCGATTGTTTTTAGGGTAATTTGAGTGTTACCAGTAATGGGTCTTGGAAGTGGCGATGTATGTGAATGAGGAGAGTTTCTGTAGGGTAGGGCAAGATGTTTAGCACATTAAATTTTGGTAAAAAAGGTAAAATAGTAATTGAAATTTTGAGAGTTCATGCTTTAAAGTAGTACAAAATAAATATATATGAGATAATTGAAATAGAAATCCAAAGAGGTTTGAATTATTATTTATTAGGAATTAAAAAAGGAACTGTTTGGGAAATTTGGGATCGCTTGTGAACTTCACAAGCCTCCTTACGTTTAAGCTCGAAGCAATCATGGCGACAACACTAAGATCGTAAATATAAGGTAGAGTTGTGTATTTATTGTAGAATTTTAATTATGATCTTATATAAGGTAGAGTTGTGTATTTATTTTAGAACTCTTATTATGATTAGACGTGTGGATCAAATTATACATTGAATAAAAAAGAATGTAATCAGGTAAAGATACACCTACATATTCACAGACATGGCAAAGTCAAAGATATGATGCAATAAACATGTAAAGCAAGGAAATGACTACCTTGTTTAAGACAAATTGATGACAACTTCCCTCTTCTCATAAAGTTTGCAAGGTAATAGGAATCAAATGTTTCAATATATCTATATTATCATATAGAAGTCAGTTTCTTTATCATCGTGCATTAATTCCTTTTTTGTGAAATTCGATATTTTTCGATCCCAAGTAAAAATATCAGAAATTACCAAAAGGGAGAATCTGTTGTCACTCATTGATTAAGAATAATTCATATATGATCTTTAAAGCTATTAACTAAAAAAAATAAAGAACAATAGAAAGAATTATGATAACATATGCAAGAAGACGACTTGAATCACAGTCAAACAAAAAGAAAACGTAAAAAATAGAACCAATACAGTGTTAATAAAGAAAATAGAGTTGAGAAAGCAACGGGGTTGTATTGTTCATCGTAAAAGTTCTTGCCCACATTAATTCCTAAAAAAAATTAAAAAAATTACCAACATTAATTTTAGGAGACTTGGATATTTTCCTCTTTTTCTCTTACGAGGACTCATTTTTCACGTAATAAAAAACTCACCAATATTAATTAATTCTAAAAAGAAAAAAAAAGAACTACCAACATTAGCAAAATCCCAACAACCTAACCATATAACCAACAAGATCTCATATTTGAATTCTACATCATCTTGGCCTGAATTTGCTGACAATATTTTCACTGCTACTGCTTGTCCATTTTGAAACTTACCCTGAAACATAATATCATAACATAAATTATGAATTAAAACAATGGAATTATAACAGTATTCTTATTCCAATTTGGACGTTATGCATTAAGGAGTGTATTTATGTGGAAAGAATTTTGTACTGTAGAAGCTGAACTTATGCAACAATGTGTAAACTTAATCAACTTAAGAATCCTTTTTTAGTCCAAAAAAAAAAAAAAAAATCTATCGACATCAATTCTCCATATATTTTAGGTCTCCTTAATTTTTCAAAATTATAGTCAATATTATTAAGATAATTAAATAATAATCTGAGAAAATAGTTAATGAAAGTCTTATTTATTACATAGTGTTTTAATGAAGGGCAAAAAGTTCAATCAACATTTCTAAGGACCTTCATGCTTTTGATATAGTTTATAGAATATAGAAGATAGATGGTGATAATTATGGTTAAAACAAAATTGAACACATGAGAAATGAGAACAAAGCAGAAGTACGAAATCACGACTCACTCTGATGATATATGGATAAAATGGGAGACGTTTGCTTGTAACACATTTACATTTACATTTACAAAGGTTAGAATCTAATTCAGCAAAAAAAGGAGATGTTACCTACATTCTCCCCAGAGGTAGAATATCTCACTTGCTTACCTAACATAACCACTTTTCTGTTCATATTGGTTGGTGTGGTGTAAATGCAAAACATGGTAAAACAGATTTTCACTCTCCAAGTTGAAGTTGATGGAAATAAATTTTCATTTCCACAATCTGATTAAATTGTTGTCAGTGGCAGAAGCTACTACACCAGTGGGCCGCGACGCTGCTAAACTATTCACAGGCTCTTCCAGCACAATCATCATCTTGTTCTCAGCCATATGCCAAAATTCCAGGCACTAGAATGTACACAAGTTAAATCATATCATTAAAGAAGTCCATAAATCACAAATCACAAGGCAAAGACTTGAAAATGTAATGAACATGCATGCAGTGTTGAAACAACCAACTAGGCATATAAATTGTGAACCTCCATGTATTCATGTAATAGTAAGCCAATGGAGCAACTCATAGAATTGATGACATGAAAAAAAAAACTACTTGCCTGATCTGAACCAACCACTAATACAGAAGGGTAACAAGGATGAAATGTGCAGCAACGAAATCTTTTGCCTGTTACGCTTCGCTCATTCATGCACTCTTGCTCTCCACTAGAGCCAATCTTCCAGACTTTTACCATATCTTCACTAAGTGAAGCTAGATACTCACCAGAGCTGCTCCAGCATATACCCCGGATGATTGAGATGTGACCCTGCAAAGATGCCCCCGAGAAAAAGTTCATTACAACTCGAACAACATCCTAATAATAACTCAGAAGGTGCAACTCGCCGATAGGATACAACAAGTAAAGACATAATGCAAAACGTGAGAAGTACTCAAACTGTGCTCATCACTTACTCTAATATCATTCAACAGGTCACTACATTACGACAACACAGAAGCTAACACTCCTAAGGAAACTCTACGTTTGTGAGCCCATGAATATAGTCAGATATTCAGGTGTCCAGAATGATCCAATCACAGGTTCAAGTCTTAAGTTCGTTATAATCTGAGCTATTTAGGGGAGAACTAAAGAAGAAACCTTCACTCGGCTTTCTTCCTTGCCTGTCATATGCAATGTGTTTGGTTCAACTAATTACAAAAAGAGAAAAGACAGTGTGGGGCAAATAGGATGTTGGACAAGTGGTTGTCCAACCGAATAATATTACATCAGTTTCTGGAAATAAAAAAAGATCACATAACATCAGCATAGGTGAATGTAGGGAAGACTTGAAGATCCAATCTGAGATAGAATTTTCAAAACTTAGAATCAAGATATGAAAAATGTATTTAATTTTTATATTTCTAAGCTAAAGATTAAACAAAAGGATTCACAAATAAAACTGCTAATGCTACAACCAGTCCATAAATTGTTAAAGCTTCCATAGAAACTAGACTAATAGTGTACCACCGGCAGTCTGTTCAGGGTTTAAAACTCAAGGAATGCAACTAAACATGAGTGTTGCACCTCGTTAAAAGACATAACCCAACACCTTACGGCACGAGCTAACCACAGTCATGCACTAATAATTTCAACAACTTAGTGAAAGGAATATTGTGTGAAAAATTCCCCAACCTTCAGAGGATATGTACAGATTTGGGTGGTCTCCACATCTATTAACAATACACCATCCGCATCAGCAGCAGCAAGATACTTCCCAAGATTAGGCTGAAACCTAACTTGAGTTGCACGAACCTGAAAAATTTGGAGCTGATAAGTCGTGACGTAAATAAAAGATTCTATTACTGAAATAGGGACCAGAAATATCATCATTTTGCAGCTTAACATACAAGACTGAGGTATCAAATATAGGTTTACTAATACCTTTGACACTCCTGCACAACCACCATTCTTAATGTTCCAGTATCGAATTGTACTAACATTATCACAAGAACAGATCAGGTCCTCCTTGGTTGGATGAAAGTCAAGTGACATAACGGAGGCAGAATGGCCAGTAAAACTTCGTATTGAGTGGTCTGGCTGCAAGGATACAACAAACTCTAGTTTTGACAGGCTTGAACTCTACTTGCCAAAATTCATCAAAACAAATTAATCTAAGTGCATGTACAGATAATTTGACGGTGTTCTGTCAAAGAACAAATTCGTAAAGCCAGAAGTCAGGAGTTCACCATCAACAGTCTTCAAACAAGTTGGGGGGAACAAAGCACAATAGTCAATTCATCTTAGAAGGATCATTGAAAGAACGGAAATGAGTCAAAAATATCTTTAAACCATGTGAAATTGAACAAAATGTCCTCCGTAAATAGTTTGCTCCAAAAATGTCCCTGTTGTTTATAACTTGGCCAAAAATGTCTCTATTGATACTTAATTGGGCCCAAAATGTCCTTTTCCTAATACACACATTATTTCTTTTCCTAATAAAAATAAAACATGAACGTGTCCTTTAACTTGGTCTCAATTGGCATCGATGCCCTCCAACATTGAATGTACACAAGTAGACACTTAAACTTATATAAAGTTGAACAAGTGTCTACACACGTCCGAGATGACATAGAACCAGTTTGGCTTAGCTTTAAAAGTTGGTTTGTCAAACCAACTTTTAAGTAGTTTTCAGCCCTCAAGAGTGTTTGGATATTTTAAAAAAAGTTAAAAGATAAAAGTAGGTACCCCCTACTTTTAATTTTTTAACTTAAAAGATACTAAAGTTTGACTTATTAAAAACTACTTTTAAAAAGCTACTTTTTTAAGCTAAGTCAAACGGGCCCATAATATGCATCCTACATGGCATAATACAAATCAGTTCAAGTGTATCACACCGAATTGCCACGTAGGATGTGTGTGTTCACTTGTTTAACTATATGCAAGTTTAAGTACCTACTTGTGCATACCCGAAGTTGGAGGATATGGATGTAAGTTGAAGCCAAGTTAAATGGCACGTTTATGTATTATGCTTTTTCTTAGAGAACCTTATTCTTTTGAAATCCATTTAACTAATAAAAAAAGTTGTAACCTATCTTTTTTTCAACTTAATGTCGTTTACAATTAAACTAGAATAACCTCATGTATTTTTTAAACTGATAATATAGGTCATATATATAAGATCATAGTAACCCCATCATTAATTTTCATTTAGATAATGATGAAATTCTTTTTTCTTGATAAAATAGGAAATATTTTTTAATTTTTATTTTTTTTCCAAATTGAAGTAGAATAAGCATTAGCTAATATATTTCTTGGTTCGAAACTTGAAAGGAAAATAGCTCAACAATAACTCCATCAACGATATTTTAACAATATTTTGTAATTTGAAAAACAGTAATAATTTTTTTGTTTTTTAAGGCATTCTGATTGAAGTAGCTTAACTTTAAAATCAAGGATTATATTAAGAAATGTTTATCCTTCTTACATTCGGAAAAATTAAGAAATAAAAATATTTCTTATTTTATTAGATAAAAAGAATTTTATTGTTGTATAAATGAATTAATGATGGATTACTATGATCTAATATATATGGCCTATATTATATGTTAAAAAGGTATATGGTCAAAATTCTGGGAGAAGGTCCCATTTGAATGCAGATGAAAGCGAGGAAGGTTGTCCACTTAGGCATTCTTTGAAATACAGATGCAAAATAATGGATCTCTGTAGTTTCAGCTACACTGATTTGTACAGGATCTGAATTCACATCTACACTGAGTTTGAGCAGAAAATTTCTACACAACACGCAATGATTCATCTTAGAGTTTTATCAGGATGGAAGAGTAATATCCTATCATCCAAGTAATGAACACATAAAAATGACTTACATTATGAACATCCCAAATTTTGATTGTCTTATCAAGGGAAGATGAAGCAAGACGTGGTAATCTTGGACCAAAGCGAACATCTGTTATTGCATCAGAATGCCCCTCAAGTATATGCTTTAGCGCTCTTGAATCTGTGCACCATAGTACAACCTATGCCAGAACACATCAGAAATAATAATAACTAAAGGGACCTGAATACAGAATTCAAGAATATAACTCCTTGTTTCACTGCTTTTCAGACTGTCTTGAATACAAAACAATTTATCATCTCAAGTTCCTGTATCAATACCTCTTTATCCCCGCCAGTTGCTATCAGCTTTCCATCAGATGAAAGGTCGCAGCAATTAACTGCACTGGAATGAAAAGTCCCAATTTCCAAGAACGTAATATCTTTATTGCAAAAGAAAAAAACAAAAGTAAATAGCTAGAGTGGCAAGTGTCCCATCAAGAAAAAGCCAGTATAAAGAAGTCAGCGTCAGTTAAAACCTTTACTGGTGCCTAAGCACCTAGGGATTATGCTTTCAGTATCTGCATTGTCAGAAAGGAAGGACTCGGCAGAGTTATTCGCAAACATGTGGTTTATAAGAGGAACATCAGCCTGCATCCCACACATATTTGATTAGTCTGACTATGCATCAATAGAACCACCATCTCTTAATTAGGAGAAAGAATGAGGACATTTGATTGATATCCTTTTGATAAAATTAGCAGCCAGTTTAAAGCCTTCGCTTGTTTTGGAAGCACTAACCAAACACTCCATGCGCAGATTCACTTTTGTATTGAAGGAAGTTTGGCTTACCTTTCTCCATGTGTGTGAAACCAGTTGAGTTAAGATATCAAGTAAAGACTTCGCATGAAAATTGAACATCAAAAATTGATATAACCCATAGTTGGATTAGCATTTCCTTTGTACCAAATTCACTTCTCACAGCATATCTGTCTACAATGTCTATTATCGCATTACAAAAAAAAGGACTACTAAAAGAGAGACAGCCAAACATTTCCTGATGCAATACTACTTTTGTGGCATCAATTAAGGAAAATCAGAGTAAACCCCTTCCCTAGCATATTATCCTAAGTTGACATATTGATTAATATTATTAGATCAGTTAAATAATTGGAAATGAAGGAGCAACTTGTCAATTGGATCCTTGTTTCACGGAATCCTCAATAAACTGTAAGTATAGGGGCAGTAATCCTTACCATTTGAGTTGATATCAATGTAGCTGAGCAAACAACATCATTGCCATACACACAACCTTTAGAAAAATTATCATCATGAAGCAATGCAGGCATTGATATCACATCTTCCGCACTGGATATAGATGGTGTAGAAGGCGCTGAACTTGGTAACAGACTAGTGTTGTATGCAGTTCCTAAGCTGTTACTCTGACCTGATGACATTAACTGCTTTCTCTTTTTCGTAGCACGTTTCTTTGAAGTAAACATGAACAATGAAATTCAATGAGGACAAGAAAGTACAAGGACAAATATATACCCTTCTCTATACTTGTGCATATGTAAGAATATGATGGGTTGTCATGTCAGATAACAGCCAAAAATATATATCAGAAATGACATCAATTGAATAAGTAATACAAAAATTTCACTAAGAATAATAAAAGTAGGAAACCAAGGAAAGAAAGAGCAAAGACACTCTCCAAATATTACTACTGATGTGAACTCAAGGAAATTTGATGATGAAGCTAATCTGTAAGTCTTAGTAAATCTCATAGAGCTCTTTTTTTCACAATTGGTAAGTATAAATCTAATAGAGCTCTTATCGGAATTTGTTTTTTTTTTTTGATAATGGTAACTAGCTCTTATTGGAATTTGTTAAGTGTTTCACATTGGTTAAGATAATGGGTTATTGTTCTCCTTAAATGGTCTTGGAGAATCCTAAATGCATGTGCGCTTTTGAGGTTTAGTTAGGTTCAAGGTTCATTTTCTTATCATCGTAACAGAGTTGTTGGAGTCCCACATAGGTGAGTTAAAGGTATTTGGTCTCTTTATATGGTCTTGGGCAATCCTCACCTCTTAAGCTAACTTTTGAGTTAAGTTAGGACTTAGTCCCAGGGTTTATTTCTTTAACATGGTATCAGTGTCAGGCCCATCTCAATTCATTGTTTACCTGATGTTAGGCCCCCGTCCTATACTGTCCACGCTCCAGATGTCCATTCTGGGGGGGTTAAGAGTCCCATATCAGTGGGTTAAGGGTATTTGGTCTCTTTATATGGTGTTGGGCAATCCTCACCTCTTGAGGAAGATTTTGGATTGAGTTTTTATGGTCCGTTTTTAGCTTGTAGGATTTTCATCTTCCACGCTCCAGATAACTAAACTTGGCCGGGGTGGTAAATAAATGTTCTCACATCGGTTAAGAGAATGGGTTGTTGACTCCGTTTATGATCTTGATCAATACTTACCTCATGAGCAATCCTTTGGGATTGAGTTAGGCTCAATGTCCATTTTCTTATCTGAATTTATATTGGGTGGTCGACACTTGTACAATCAGATATTTGAAGTCCCCCATCGAAAGTAAAGAGTTACGAGAAGCAGGAAGAAAACCACTACACTTTCAACCAGTTGTTTTCATTCCTTAAGGCTTACTCTGCTGGGTAAAGTAGAAATGTTTGGAATTCGTCATGGCACTCATTACTTCAACATTGTAGGAATAATTGATCAATGATAAAAAGATTATTTTTTTAAAAAAAAAGAAGGATGAAAGAACAAAGATATATTTATAGAAAAGCTAATAGTATGAGTTAAACTGAAAGAAGAAATAAAACAGAAACTATTTCACAAAGTGCTCATTGGAAATTAAATGGGGAGAAGGGTGCAGGGTTTGTAGGAATGTAATAAATATGAAATGCATTACACATAACAAGAGCACCTATTATTCTTATATGAACAACTTATCAACAGCTCTAGTGCACTGGACATATAAGGGGTCTGAGGTCAAAGCTAACCTGATCATCACCTCTAGAGGTGTTGGACAAGCTAACGTCCATGGTCGTGCTGCCAGTAGCAACACTCTTATCTTGCTGTTGGCTGCTGGAACTTGGATTTTCTGGATGCTTGCAAAAAAAAGCAGGCTGTTGACCTTGTTCCAGACTTCGATTGATGTTCTGCACTTGCTGCATAAACTCGTCATTTTTTTAGTACTTTTTTACAAGAATAGATAGTCTCTCTAAAGACATCAAATGCAAAGTATATCAAGTATAAACTGGCACCTTCATTAGCATAGCTGAATCTGAACGAGAGAAAAGCGGGAGACCCACTTGAACTGGCAAATTTCTGTCCACAACTATGTTTGCAGTGAAGTTTGATTGGTCACCTTGACTTATATCCATATACTGGTCACTAAGAAACATTAGAATTTGTTGCTGTAGCTGCTGTTGGGAGGGATGAGACAGGTGGACTGTAGAGCTTTGCTGCTGAATTAGTCCAGATTGAAGCTGTTCCAATCCCTATATATGGGGAGATTAGTCAATGTATAGAAAGTACTCCGTCTCATAGTCAATTCTAGACTGGTTCTATGGAAATTTCCAATTATAAATGACAGCTAAAAGAAGCAGAAAAAAAGGTTCCCATTTTCCGTTTGACTGCTTCTGGTTCAAATAATATTTTAGGGTACTCACATAATTATACTCGCTAAGTTCAACTACAAATGAAAGCTGAAAGCAGCAGGCCAATTATGCTTTCATTTTCATCTGAATGCTTCTGATCTTCTCATGGTTCAGAAAACGTTAGGGGGCTGAACAGATTACACTCATTAGAGTCTTCAGTTGAAAGTTTTGGCTATGACTACAGATGAAAATATATGCAATTGTAAATTAAAATAAATACTTTCACATTCTTCGGAAAAAAACATATCTTTGGGATCAAGTGATACCACTGCTCCTCTGGAAACACCTAACATATGCTCATGTCCAACATCCAGAGGATATAGACCAGTCAGAAGGTAACTATTAATGGATAATATGTGTTATCCTTTAGTTAGGAGCTTGTTATTAGTTTCCAATTTTCAAGCTTTCTTCTGATTCAATATTATCTAGTTAGTCTTTGGGTTTATTTAGAACTTTCAGTAGTTTCCTATATTCTAGATTTCTTCTGCACTGATCTTATCATATTAGTTTGTCTCAACTTTCATGTATTTGGGTTCTGTAAACGTTCTATACAAAGAGCATGTTGTTCATGAATAAAATATCATATTTTTCGTCTACATCTCAAACCTTTATATGATATCAAGCGCTTTTTTTCTCCTTGTTACCCACCCAGCACAAATGGCACTCTCTGTTACCAATTCCGGTGCACCAAATACCACCACCATTGTTCAATTCAACTCGGTTACCCAGCCTTATATCAACCTGCTGGCAGACGTAAACTTATTCTCTCCCTCGGGAAGGCACAAATGTCCATGCTCATGATAGGACAGGACACAATGTCTATGGATGTATAGATGGGACTATTCCTGCTCCCATCCAGACCACCACAGAAAACAACCAGACAATTGCCAACCTCGATTACATTAATTGGTTTCATCAGGACTAGTTGATACAAAATGCCATTTTAGAGTCAGTTGACCCAACTCTTGCTGCCACTGTAGCCGATGCAACCACCGCCAAAGCAACATGAGATTCCCTCCACACTGCTTATGCCAACAAGTCACAAACTCTCATATTGAGCTTGCGAGATCGCCTTGCACATCTCACCAAAGAGAGCCTTCCTGTAACAGACTATCTCAACCAAGTCTGACTCTCTGCGATGAACTTGCGACTGCAGGAGCTCCTGTCACCAACACCGAACTCACTGTCAAAATTCTCATGGTCTTGAACCAGAACATCGAGAAATATCAGCAGCAATTCGAGCAAATGACACCCCTACTATTTGAATACTGACCACGAGCTTTTCCTCAAACACAATGCTCTGTCTCACACCCTCCACCAAAATTATTGTTGTTGTTGCTCACATACCAACTGTCAAACAAGGACCAACGCGACCAACAACAATAGGTCTCAAACCGCGTTCTCATCCAGACATCGTTGCACCGATCTGCACGACAACTTAGTGTGCCAGTTGTGTGACTAAATTGGACACTCTGCTCGAGTTTGCTCTCCATCTCATAATCATTTTCAGGAACGAGCCAACTTTGTTGGACAACAAATGCAGCAGTCTGTTCCCCCTCCCCGC